AAATCTTACTACAAAAAGAGGTTGTACATTACACTGATTATTTAAGAATGTATGCCAATTGTCAGTTGTGAACACTAACACTGTTATAACATACTGTCTTGTCTTACAATTTCATCTTTGATTTGAGTGTGTCAGTGGGGTTTTTTTTTTCTTTTCTTTATTTTTTTCCATTTGATAATATGAGTACACATTTCGCTCTGGTATTTCATAATGCTAAAAGTTTGATGTTGACAAATTCAATTATAAAATCCCACGCGACCATTTACAAATACACTAAAGTATGTTTAACTTTTCAGTATACATGTAATATATAATGAACTGACCTTCATCGTCGTTTACATCCTTTTTGATAACGAATTGTTTACATTCTCGTCTTTTTATCTGATGGGTAGTTGTCTCAATGGCAAATCATACTACATCTTCTTATGTTTTATATAGAACCATAACAAAAGTGAGAAACCCAACTCTATCATAACTACTGTGACAATTTTATCTTTGTTTTTGTTTTTCTTTTCTTTTTTCCATTTTGTAATATGGATACACCTTTTACAGTCTATTATAATATAGGTTGATGTTGACAAATTTTATTAAAAAAAAATCCACTAGACTTACATTCCTACATTTGAAAATAGACCAAAGGTATATTTAACATTTCAGTATAGGTATACATGTATATGAACTGACCTTCATCGTCAGTACGATGAGATAGCAGTCCTTTTTCTAGTGCATTTACACCTGATACCTTATATAAGCACTGCACTACAAAGTTATTCCAATATTTTGTTTTAGCTGTATAAAAGGACAATAAATCTCGTATAAAAACGATATCATTAAAAATGTATTTTTTATAAAAGCTTTTAAATTATGTAACTTGAATTGGAAACGACCGAGTAACTACTGTCCTTCCTCTTTAAATGCAGTTTTGACCTTAGAAAGGCCGGAGAGTCAGTCTCTTTCAAGAGAATTTAAAATTGTTGAGTAATTTTCCCCGTCAGTCTTCCAATTTCGATGTTTCGAGAGTATGTCACAATTCAATTTCAATTACTTATAGCAGCAAATACGACAAATTTTGTTCTTTGATCGATTGAATATATTTATTTATATTATATATCTTTTTTTTAAATACTAGGCCTTAATTCCTCAAAATGTCTTAATAAGACATGAAGGTAAGAAAGGACCATTTTAATAATATGACCCGTATATGAAGGTTTAAATAAACAAAAGGAATTGACGATACAAGTTCGGTAAGATTTGATTTTAAAATATTTTTTTTTATCTGATATCGATTGATTGAAACAAAATATATAAGCACTAAATGTCTTACCTTGCTGATTTGTTCGTTTGTATTTCTAACAGCAAAATCTTGTTTGTTAAAAGATATGTGTTCTTCTGAACACAACACGAAAAGATAACAAAGTATTCGTCGTCAATGTTTACATTCGACTTATCTCCCAGTCTAAACATATCACAGGGGTTTTACTAATATGGATTTTCCATATAATTACTGCAGACATTTCATAGTCTTAATTTCCCTTACACTATACGAAACTATAAATTGTCCTTCTTTATGTTATATAATTTAAAAATATTCTATATGTAACGTTGACAGGAGAGTTAATATTGGTGTGTATACAGGGTTTTTTCTTCATACTGAAAAGTGAAAAGGTCTTGAAATGATGAAATGATATTCCAGAGTTAAAGAAAGAACGACTGATATTGACACTACTCAACCTTGACGGTCACCATCGCGAATACGATGTGTCTGTGTTTAGACATTATTTTAAGATTCAAAATTCCATATTTGATCTAATAATTTATCGATTGTCCTATTTCGTATTGTGACATTTTGACGTAACGGGAACTCGTGTGGCAGGTGTTGCATGCACAGCAGGAGACACTAATGTCGACACAACATGTGTCGTTGCGTTTCGTTCCGTTACTAGTATTTTAAAAAATAAATTCACAAAATTTGAACTTCTGTAAACTACTGTTGCCTCTTATATGTTCACCATTGAATGTGAAATTACTGAATTTCAATACCAAAGTAAGAAGCTGGACTAAATATTCAGTTGGTGGGTGTATGGTGCTGCGAGAGTTCCAGACTTCCCTACAGGCTTCAGTGCCATCTTCAATATTGATTTTGTTGATTATAGTGATGAAAAAACAAAAAACAAAAAACAAAAAACATTTATCATGCATGATCTATAAAAGACTTGTAATCATGTACAATGTCAAGTGTCAGTGACCCAATTTTTTGATACGTATGCACAGCCCAGTCTTCCTTGTTATCATATACTGAATAATTTATTATATATCTAATAAAAACATACATTATAATGATTTTAAGGTATTTGACAAATAATTACAACCAGAGAGGTCTGGAGTCAGTATAGTTTTTTTTTGTGTGTGTGTTGATTATAGAAGAATTATCATATAGTGCGTTTTCATCGTTCTAATTAAGAGGCCAAACGGAGCGGAAAACACAACACAGAGAAATTTGTCTGAAACAAACATTTACAAAACAAAATATTTTTTTTTTATTCGTAAGTGATACAAGAGACATATATTGCACAATAAGTACAATACCGAATGTGAGTGTATCTGGGAATTCACGAAATGTCACATCGTCCGCGTTTATTTAAATTCGATCCACCTTACCTTACCGCTGAATCGTTTTTCGTCCTTCATGACAACCTCTAGTAGAGTGTATATAAGATTGTAGTCAATATTAAAACCCTCCACCATCCTGAATATCATACAAGTATATACAGTTTATTTACAAGTCTGTATGTGGTATTTAGTTCTGAAGTAACGGGCGAATTACGTTTTTCAAAACGAATCCATTCCGAATACGGTTTTATTTATAACATCTTGAAGACTTCCTGTGTAAGTCAAAATTTAATTTTTCTGGAGGCTCTTTTCTGTTGTAACATATTTCCATCATTTTTTTTGTGTTATCATAATTGGTTTTAGTTCTGTTTCTAAAATTTTGGTGAATGTTTCGGGTCTATTGCTCATCTTTTTTTTCGAAATCACATCAACAACTCAATCCCGTCTTTGTCTATCACTATCAGTCTATCTTTAAGGTTCATCATAACAAATGGACAAATATGGCCGTATTTTCACCTCAAAAACTACTCTGTGTACAGGCTTACATGTGCAGTTTGGAAAGTTTTAAGGCCTGGCATCCACTAGATGTATAAAAGTTAAATTTATTTAGCATATCAGAAATATAAAATCTTTTTTGGATTATGGTGGGCATTTTTTTCCGTTCCTGCTGAAAGTGTAAAAATAAACTAAGTTGGGATATAACTTTGAGATGCTCCATCTCAGGTAACAACTGATTTGTATTGTATTGATTGTCCTTGATTGGCATGGACAATAGATATCTACACATCTATAGGTGAGTTAAAGGTAGTAACTGAGTGGACATTATCAAATGCAATTCAGGTGTTTGTTTATTTTTACACCTTCTGCAGGAAGGAAAAAAAATGCCCATCATATTCAAAAAAAGATTTTATCTTTCTGATATGCAAAATAGATTTAACTTTTATATATCTAGTGGATGCCAGGCCTTAAAACTTTCCAAACTGCACAGGTAAGTCTGTACATTGAGTAGTTTTTGAGGTGAAAAAACGGCCATATTTGTCCATTTGTTATGATGAACCTTAATTCTTTGGTTATCTTAGTCTTTTTTTATTGCAGCATGAACAAAAAGAGCTATGTATATTTACAGTGCGGTTACACAAGTATTTATCCACCTTGCTGTTCCAACCATTTAATGAATGATTGACTAGTGCTTGCTCAACATCCAGTGGCAAGTATTTCATGCTTATTCAATACGACCAACCATTTGATTGTAAAGATTATTGGCCAAGACTACCAATAAATGCTACTGCTTTCAATTAAAATTAATAACATTTGCTTCAAATAACTATCAATATTAACAAGGTTTGGCACAACCTTTACTGAGGACCATCTTTGATCAAATAAAACGATCATGAATTTTGATAAATCTTATATTTTAAAGGATATCTATAAACCGCAGCCACAGGTAGTTATAAATGCAATTCACTTTCTTCTCTCAAATTTGATCATCACATTTTCCATATGTTACCATATAAAAGTTAAGGAACAAAAGTTGTATTTTCCAAATGTTCCATATATTGCACTATTGCAATGTTATTCTCTTTATCATGTTCTAATAAGTAGTAGAATAGTTTTATAAAATAAGGAGTGATATGATGCCAATGTGTTTGGTTTGGTTTCAGTTGTTTTTCTTATTTGAATTGTTTCATATTTTTGATGTCATGCTGTGGCATTTTATAGCTTATCATAGGGTATGGGTCTTGCTCATTGTTGAAGGCCATACAGTTACCTATAGTTGCTTGTATCCACATCCTTTGGTCACTGGTGTCTGGTTTTTTCTGTTTTGCTATGAAAAAGTTAAAGCATCACTCTGAATGTTTCGTCTTTTCTGTTTTGCTATGAAAGAGTTAAAGCATCACTCTGAATGTTTCGTCTTTTCTGTTTTGCTATTTAAGAGTTAAAGCATCACTCTGAATGTTTAGTTTTTCTCAATTTTTTTTAAAATACATTACCTAGGCCATTATCGGAACAAAATTTTATTATTACCTTTGTGCAATATAAGGATTAAAATTTGGATAAGAAGATAAAATAGATAAACAAAAGAGTTTTTTCTGGCACATTTGACTGAATTGTTATTGCTATTTATAAACCGCTCTGAAATCATAAGGTAATATTGATTTTCTGGTTGTTTGTACTTCAGTAAATTATTTGTCTGAAGCATTTGTCTTAGAGTCAAAAATTATAAAAATTACTCCCATATACATCCAATGACATGAATGATATGATAGTTCATCTAACTAAATCAGGGTTTTTGGTTTTTTGTTTTGCTAAAAAGAGTTAAAGCATCTCTCTGAATGTTTAGTTTTTCTCTATGAAATGTGTTTTTCTAAAATATTTTAATTACAGATGTGCAGTTGCATAAAAGAGGAGAACAGTGGTTTGGTTGATTATTGTACTTCAGTTAAGAGCTACCTATACAAGTCACACTTATATCCCTTATTGAATTTAACAGAATTAGAGAAAGGCACGGTGAGATGGGACCTCTATCTCTAACAAGTGAATGAACCACTCTGACAAATAGATTAATCCGTTGATACGAGTTGTTGAAAAAATAGTTACTGGTAGTTGATAAAAGAAATTACAGTATGGAAGATGCATCAGCTAATGAAAGCAACAAAGATGGATCAGTTAATAAGAGTGAAAATAGCATAAGTGTGGCAGCTGAATCAGCCAGTATTGATATGAGCATACCAAGTTCAGCTGATGAGTCAGTTGATAAGATTTACATTGTTAACATAAGAGAGGAAATGGATAATGAGAAAGATCTTCCTCTGATGTCAAATGTAAAAGATATCCACATTTCTCATTACATTCTACAATTAAAATGCCTGATGGAGACAAGAGAAATGATCGGTCATGTGACATTATTTAGATGTTGTGATCAAGCTAGATGTAGAGAGTGTACTAAAAATAGAACTTTCAACCAGAAGGTAACAGCTAACTCTAAATGTTCAAAAATTAGAGCAAGTCAGGAGAAGAAAAACAAATTTAATATTCAAAGAATAGAATCCGAGCACAACTATATTGATGTTTTTAGTGAAACTACTATGGTACCAGATCAAGTTAGTAAGTCCTTATCAGATCATTCATATAATTGTGCAGACATGATTTGTGCACAACAGTCTTCATTGCTGAATGCTAAGCACAGTTCTGCATCCTGCAACAAAACTTCTAATATGCAATCAATAAATTCTGTAAATGTTACTGATTATGCTGATACAGGCATCTCATTGGCTGACACTTTGGAAAATTCTCCAAATGATTTTAAAATGATTTTAGACTGTTGTGATATAGAAGTAGACTATGTGGAAGAATTAGATATGCCTCTGTACATGTTTAAGGATTTAGTTGAGAATAATCATAATAAAAGTCTGTATGAAAATCTAACATTGGTAGTTAGAACCCTGGGTAAATTGAAGTGGGAGTATGGAAAACATTCAGTATCAGTGTGGAAGGAGGGTGTGAAAACCGAGAGCCATTTTCCTGGTGTCATTAGAATTCATTATAGGACAAAGCCAACTGGACAGTCATTGAAATGGACTCTTGACCAGGATGAAAAGTAAGTCATTGATGAATAAAAGAACATAACTGTGCAAACAGCTGATGTAAGGGTCTGGATGGTGGGGTATTCATTTATGTATTTTTTTAATTTTTATGGCAATTTTTCTTAAATCATTAATTTTTTTATGCCCCACCTACGATAGTAGAGGGGCATTATGTTTTTCGGTCTGTGCATCCGTTCGTTCATTGGTCCGTTCATCCATCTGTCCCGCTTCAGGTTAAAGTTTTTGGTCAAGGTAGGTTTTGATGAAGTTGAAGTCCAATCAAATTGAAACTTAGTACACATGTTCCCTATGAAATGATCTTTCTAATTTTAATGCCAAATTAGAGTTTTGACCCCAATTTCACGGTCCACTGAACATAGAAAATGATAGTGCGAGTGGGGCGGGCATCCGTGTACTATGGACACATTCTTGTTACCATTTAATTTAGTGACTCATTTTTCTATTTTCTTTATTTTATGGTCCATTTTTCTCTATTTTTTACTGTGTTTACATAGAATTCTCTATTTTGTAAACACAATTCAGACCCTCATATATGTATGCCTGAAAATCATTGAAATGATAGAATTCCAAATTTCTGATTTTGTGATAATCATGATAATGAAACTGATTTATAGTTTATTTCTCTTTATGTCTTGTCATAACGCATGCAAGATTTATTGTTAATTACATGTACAATGATGTACAATGTTCATTAATTCTATATAAATTATGTACATGAAATACAGAGTTTTGTTTAATTTTTAGACATTTTTAAAAGTTTTGTATGAAAATGTAATACCTGTTTAAATAACATATACATGTAAACCACCTTTCAATATGACAAACTGAATATGAACATCTACCCCCGGTATACTGTTCATGCTGTTTGAGGATACATGTACATAAAAGATTAATTGAGTGTTGCTTATAAATGTCTCATCTTCAATGGCTTATTTTTAATGCATATTCAGGATAAGAAGATATACATTTTTGTAAGATAGTAGGACACAGTGTGGACTGGAGGAAAGGTAAAGATCATTTTACTGCTGCATCTGAAGACTTTTTTATGCCCCCGCAGTAGTCCCAAAATTGGTTTCTGTTCTCTAACTTTAGTTTGCCTCAACCAAATGTTATGAAACTTATACACAATGCTTATTACCACAAAACACAGATCAAGTTTGAATTTGGGTGGCGTCGCTTTTACCGTTCTAGAGTTATGCCCCTTTACAAATGGAAAAATTGCTGAATTTTTCATTTCCGTTCCCAAACTTCAGTTTGCCTCAACCAAATGTTATGAAAATTATACACAATGCTTATTACCACGAAATTCAGATCAAATACGAATTTGGTTAGCATCACTTTTACCATACTTGAGTTATGTCCCTTTATAACGTTATATGCAATGAAAAAACATGATAGAGGGAATGGGAGGTATAGGTTAATGAGTCAGCCACCCAAAAATACAAAACACCAAAAGGACAAAACATATTTAAAAAAAAATTAAGGAAGACAAACAATGACAAGGTTTCTTACTTTGGCAATATTGACACAGCTAGCACTACAATCTGTGTAGCTCAGACTTTGGACTCTAGTGTGAAAAGACAAAATCTGCTAGGCACTAGAGAGTAGTAATCTGATTTTGTTTTTTTTTTTTTCTTTTTTTTTAGACTTGGACAGATAACAAATGTATTATTTAATCTGGCATATTTATAGATGGTGCGTATTTACACATGGACACTGGATCAACAACAGGTCCTTTTTCCCCTCCCAGGATTCACCTGCAGCCATGGCTACCTGGCAAGCTGAAATTGAGGTTCAGAAAGATCTAACAATTGTAATGGGTGGTGATTATAATGAAATGGTTTCCAAAAGTGATGAGGATGGTATGTTACAATGTTTACACCACATGTGGTTTAGGATAGTTAATTCAGAATTTAATATGTGAATTTATCAGTGCATATCTAGGAAGGGGCGGACAGGATAAAGGAAGACAGGGAGAGAAGGGGTGGGAGAAAGGAGAGAGGGGGCGGTAGAAAGGAGAAAAAGGGCCGGAGAAAGGAGAAAAAGGGCCGGAGAAGGGAGAAAAGGGGTAGATAAGGGAGACAAAAATGTTTATAAAAAAATAATAAAAGTGAGTCGGAAATTGATTATTTTATTAAATTAGATAATACAAAGCTTGAAGAAAGTGTTAATAAATGTCATAGTAGGCTTAATGAAAACGACCTCATAAATATCCCAAGCGTCGTCACTTATTCAATCATTACGATCTCTTATATACGGAGAAAGACTGAAAACTAACAGAATATCAATGATTGTATTCTGAATCCGTGCATTTATAGAAACAAACATGTTACCATCCCTGTTTTTTAGAAAAATTGCGTCAAAGTTGACCGATATGCAAATAATTTGACAGAAAAGGGATGATGCTTCTGCATATCAAATAACGTTATTTTTACGGAGAGGTATGAAAATATGTAACAGGATATGAATGGTGTTTGTTATTTTGTTTTCATTTCCCCTTTTACATTTGGTCCTAACTGGGTGCATAATTAGCTTATAAAGAAATTCAAATCTTCAACTTAACCCTACTAGCCAAATAAGACAAGGGTGATGCCACCGCAACTTCCGTGTGTCAAATATTTCATGCATGTTTAGGACGATTCAATACAATTAGAAATAGTTGTGTTTAAAAGACACATTTAATGCAACCATCAAAAAAGGTTAAACATTCTGTTAGTTGTAAAAATGATAGATACAAACAATATCTTGATGAAATACATATTCTTAATCAAGTATACTGTATGGTGTAAACGTGTGATTTTTTTTAATGAGTTTGCTCATTTTTTACATTTTGATAATATATAAAGACACCTTTTGAATTGTATTCAAAATTTCACTTGAAAAGACAAAGTTCAATATTCTGTCATTCATGAAAAATTATCTATAAAAAATCCTGAGAATATATATGCACCCTCTCAGTTTATAAGTAAAACACTCGGCGCAATATAAAAGTTCAAGCTTGAAATTGTACATGTACTCGTAGAGGGAGTAAGCAGGGCTATGTATTCTGCGTGCATTTATATATTATCAAAATGCCAAATTAAGCAACCTGACATTTAAAACAAAAAACAAACAAAAATCCTGACAATATGCACACTTTTGGTATATATACTAACACCTGGTACATAATTTAAAGTTGAATCTTAAAAACTTAGCAATAAGAAATAAACTGAATAAACCCTCAGTTATATACCAAGTCCGGGACGGGCGGTCATACGGACACGGGTAAAACAGTATGCTTCCGGGACCAAAATATATATTAAGCGTATCTGATGATGGTCTATTTTATAAGGCATTTTGTGACATAACATAATTTTGTCTTTGATAGAAAGATGTCTCATAAGCACTACATCTCCTTATTTCATAATGGTTTGAGTTTTCTCCTGAAATACGAGTTGTTTAAAGACTAACAAATTTGTACCTTACGAGATTGACATATGTTTGTATTATAATTAATATGACTAATCTTGTGAACATGTGATGTTATCATTTGATAGATTTTATACTTACTATAGTAAATATACTTATTAACTTTCAAATTCAAGGGACCAAATTATCTTTTCTAAATCTACAAATTAGCAGTATAAAAATTCTCGTCCATCCTGCATTTTTCCTGTGTTATCTAGATGTCTTTGGCTTTTGTGTGTCGTTAATTGGCCAGTTGCAGTCTTATTGAATCTCCCATATCTCCATTTACAACACTTTTATTTAACATACATACTTGTATATGTACTTGTTATAAAATCTCTTTTAAAGATCGTAAATACCCTCTGACTTTTTCCGACGCTCATGGAGTCATGTCAGCAATGTGTCCCTCCCCAAAAAGACACCTTTGTTAATCATTTATGAATCGTTTTGACTCACCGTTTTATGAAATGGTGCATTTTTCATGGTGTGTGTGTATTTTTAGAATAGAAATCCAGATCTGGTCTGTGTTTCTTCTACTAAACGAGGTGTTTCGGTTATGGTCATGTATACGTAGGCCTACATGTATCCTCATGAGGTATTCTTCTGAAATTATATCGAATTTCTTCTAAACAGTCCAATAACACAATAACAGATATTTTTTCTTATTTAGCAGCATTTGGATTTCAACTTTAAAAATAAATCATCATGAAACGGCGTGCATCAAACTCAGTTGCAAATTCAATGCAAACAGACAGCTTAACAGTCAGTGAAAATAATTTTGAGGTTCTTCAAGCAGAAGAAACAACACCTCTATCTTGTAAAAGGACAAGACAGGGACTAGCTACCAAAAAAAGCAACAAATTTGATCAATTTTTATTAAAACGAGATTTCTATACATTAGTTTTTCATGTTTGAGGTCGGGAGACAGGAGAAAGGGGGTGGGAGAAAGGAGAAAAGGGGCGAGAGAAAGGAGAAAGGTTCCCCCTGTCCGCCCCCTCATCTAGGACAACTGACAATAATAAAACAAATTAAATAAAATTCTTTCAAACCACAACTTAGCTTAAAATGATGCATAATGAAGTTTATAACTTTTAACCACATTAACCTAGGAAACAAAGATCTTATGGTTTAACTTAGTATTCAAGTTAGATAGTTTATTTATTATGACAAACCTAATTTTAATAAAGATATTTTTTCCACTTATTATGTTATTTTATCAGTAATTTGTACATTTTCCCTTTGATCTTACTGCCTAATATTTTTAAGATCATGGACAGGACTTGATACTCGAAAATATTAGGCAATGACATCGTGTATCAGTGCAGCAACGTCACATGCTCAGGTCCATCCACATCAATTTATCAATGAAATGCAGGCAATTTCATTCATACAACCAAATAACTATCTCAACGTTTTGTATACGTAAAAGTAGTTTTACTAACTATTTAATTTTACTTCATATTCTCAACCAAAATAACATACAGTTAAGACAAATTGCCAATAAAAAGAATAATGGAATTTTATTATTTGATACTGACTTCATCAGCTCGAAAATCAGCTCGACCTAACGGGCTCGCATGATATTTTTGCTGATAAAGTCAGTATCAAAAACAAAAATGCCATTATTCTATATGTATATGCTTCTGGTTTAAAAAAATGAAAATTTAGCTATACATGTATATAGGGGCCATAGTTTTGCCTTATCAAACTTACCGGTACTCTTTAATTACAGTAGGATCATAACAGTTGAATATGCTTTGAGTGGTCTTTTGGTAAAATTTTCTTGACCAACCACCTCTTTTCTAAGTAAAATTAGATTCAGATTGAAGCCTTTTAGGACTTTTTTTAATCTGTTGATAGGATGGAAGAAAGAATATTTTAACAGTAGAATGGAAATGCCAAGTTCCACTTTATCATTAGCCATTGGATACTGGGGTTTTGTGACTATACCTTTGAGGTAAGAAAAATTAGATACCTTACTGTAATTCATCTGGAAATTTTTGGCTATTAGACATTAGACTGCAAAATTAACTCTATGCAAATATTAGATTGTACAATTAAATGCATTGTACAAGGCCATGAAACTAAATTAATGAACACAGCAAAATATTAAACTGCCCCATCTCAGGCCCAAACCGTAAAAATTTATTATTATCATAATGCCTGCATAGTCAAACAATAGAAGTTCATGATCAACAGCAAGAGAATTATATTGAGAGAACTCTACCTCATATGAACCATTAGCATATAGTAGACAACTGAGACTCATTTGCACCTTAAAGAAAAAAGGCACAAACAAAATTTTAAAGATCAGTGTGACATTTCTTTCATATTTTGATTTTTAAATACATTTATTTGTACATTTATAATAATTTTTCATGCTTTCAAAACTAATATTTTTTAAACAAAAACATTTCAAGATTGTCATGATAAAACTAGGGGGGCCTCGGTGGCCGAGTAGTCTAAGTAGTTACTACTGTAATCACTAGCCAGTCAACACTGAGGTTGTGAGTTGGAACCCCGCTCGTGCGGGTGCACTCGACTTCAATCTTAATTGACAAGGATTGTCAGTTTTCCTATCGAAGGTCGGTGGTTTTCTCCGGGCACTCTGGCTTCCTCCACCAATAAAAACGGGCTGCCATGAAATAGCCCAAAAGCGGTGCTTAAAATTGGCGTTACAACACCAAAAATCAAAAATCAATCAAATCATCATGATAAAACTATAAATCTGATCTGCATTGTAAAGATGATATGATTTAGTGTTTTCCTTTGAAGATCCTAGAAAGCTTAACAGCCTTTTTCTTGACCATCTACTTTTTAGCTCACCTGGCCCGAAGGGCCAAGTGAGCTTTTCTCATCACCTGGCGTCCGTCGTCATCGTCGTCGTCGTTAGCTTTTTACAAAAATCTTCTCCTCTGAAACCACTGGTCCAAATTTAACCAAACTTGGCCACAATCATCATTAGGGTATCTAGTTTAAAAAATGTGTCCGATGACCCCGCCAACCAACCAAGATTGCCGCCATGGCTAAAAATAGGACATAGGGGTAAAATGTAGATTTTGGCTTATATCTCTAAAACCAAAGCATTTAGAGTAAATCTGACGAGGGTAAAACTGATTATCAGGTCAAGATCTATCTGCCCTGAAATTTTCAGACAAATCTGACGACCCGTTGTTGGGCTGCTGCCCCTGAATTGGTAATTTTAAGGAAATTTTGCAGTTTTTGGTTATTATCTTGAATATTATTATAGATAGAGATAAACTGTAAACAGCAATAATGTTCAGCAAAGTAATATCTACAAATAAGTTGTCATGACCAAAATTGTCCGTCGACCCCTTTAGGAGTTATTGCCCTTAATAGTCAATTTTTAACAATTTTTTGTTAATTTTTGTAGTCTTTTACAAAAATCTTCTTCTCTGAAACTACTGAGACAAATTTAACCATACTTGGCCATAATCATTATTAGGGCATCTAGTTTAAATATTTTGTCCGATGACCCTGCCTTCCAACCATCATGGCTGACTTGGTTAAAAATAGAACATAGGGGTAAAATGCAGTTTTTGGTTTATATCTCTGAAACTAAAGCATTTAGAGCAAATCTGACAGGTGGCAAAAATGTTCATCAGATTTAGATTTATCTGCCCTGAAATTTTCAGACGAATCCGACAACCCGTTGTTGGGTTGCTGCCCCTGAGTTAGTAATTTTACAAAAATTTTGCAGTTTTTTGTTATTATCTTAGATATCATTATAATATCTAATATCTAATACTATTAATTATGATTTTAACCTTATTTTACATGAATTCCAAAGCATCAGTAAATACAGGTGAGCGACACAGGCTCTTGAGAGCCTCTAGTTAAAATTTGCCTGCTACTTTTAAACATTAATTAGATTTTATGCAGCTGGTATAATTCTATTTTAGGTATAAAAAAGGAGAGTTGTATAGGAAACCTTGTAGAGTAGTAGGTCCAAAATCAATACTGTGCCAGTCAATTACAGAACTACGAGATTATATCCCTGTCTGTTTAGGAGAAGTTAATAACATATTAGGACCATACCCATTTCCAAGACTTGATGTGTTGATAGTCCCACCATGCTTTGACAGCCTTGGAATGGCAAGGTGAGGTACTTAACATATTATTGCAAATGAAATGAAACCTTTCCACAGAATCAGTTCCTCTGTGTCAAGGCATTTAAGATTTTTGAAAGTTCAACTGTCCTTTTGTATAAATACAATAGCTATTGTTCTCTGTGGTGCTTATTTGATGGGACCTTTAAATTTCATCTTGAAATGGAAAAAATCATAAAGGAATACATTTCCATTAATTTTTCTTTTGCTAATATATGCATTATATGTTAAACTATTTTCAGTGTTATTGAACTTATTTCTGATAAAATGATAATTATGGAAAGGTTTATATGGTGCATTCCTTTTGCTTACTTATTTTTGCTTACTGATCTTTACTTATGCTTTTGTTCTGTCTGTAGTCCCTGTGTAATATACATAGCCCAGTCATTGTTGGCAGGAGACTGTTCCATGTTTGTCAGAATAGCACATGAGATCTGCCATTCTTGGTTTGGACTAGTTATAGGTCCTAAGGATTGGACTGAAGAATGGTTGACTGAAGGATTCTGTACCTATGTAGAGGATATCCTCCATCTTAATGTTAAACAGGTAATGATCATCAGTAAGAAAGTAAACATAAAAGTGCATTATATATTATTTTATTTATAAGTTGTAATAAGCTTGGAACTAGCTTTCAGTAACTGCTAGTACTCTTATTTTGGGACTTTTTTTCTATTGTTTTATTGTTGGTTGTTTTTTATGCCTCATAACAATCTTTTGAGTGAAGCCAATTGCTACTGACTTTTACAGTTTGTTCTTATGCTGTGCTGTTACACCACTGTCCCGGGTTAGGGAAGGGTTTAGCGCTCACCAACATGTTTAACCCCTCCATATTATTTATGTGCCTGTCCCAAGTCAGAAGCCTGTAGTTCAGGGGATGTTGTTTGTTCATGCCTGTTATATTTGCTACTGTTAATTGTTTTGTTATAAATTAGTCCATAAGTTACCTCTAACATTCTATAAAGATAACTCTACCAATCCAAATGACCTTGGTTGGTGTACTTTTTTTTTATTATGCAGATACTACTTTCTTCATAGATGGACCAATTTATATTTCTTGTAGATGGATCAATGTGTCTTGTAGCTGAAAGAACAATTGGAGTCAGTATACAAGAAAAAAATCTTGGCAACAAAAACACTTAATTTTTTCATCAGGTTTAATTTTTCCCTGACCATTTTTGGCAGAAAGAAGTTGGTTCACTAACTCATAATTTGGCCCTAAAAATCTGAAAATTTTTAACTGCAACAATGTTGGTAGAACTTGATGAAAACATATGATAAAATGTCTTACTGTTTCAGCTGAAAAAGGTTTTCTGCAATTGTGTCATTAGTGATGTATTTGTAATGTCATAAATATAGGTGAATTTTGCTAAAACCTGATTTTTTCCTAAATTTTCAAAATCTATGACAGTTTTCTGAAAAATAAACAGTGGCGCCATCCTGTGCCCACAAATATTATTGCTGAAATATTTTTTAAAAACCAAACTCTTTATTTTTCCACCAAATTTCAATGGGCGAGGGGTGGTACCACATATGAAATCAAGAAAAAAAGGTTGAAATAAACTCATCATAGATACCAGGATTGAAATTTTGTATTTGTGCCAGACTCACGTTTCGTCTACAAAAGACTCATCAGTGACGCTCGAATCAAAAAAAGTTAAAAAGGCCAAATAAAGTACGAAGTTGAATAGCATTGAGGACCAAAAATTCCTAAAAGTTGACTCAGTGGTTGTAAATAAACTCATCATAGATACCAGGATTGAAATTTTGTATTTGCGCCAGACGCGCATTTCGTCTACAAAAGACTCATCAGTGACGCTCGAATCAAAAGGTGACAAATTTCAGAAAAATGAATGAAAATAAAATCCGTTTTTATTTCAGGCTAATGTGTTTATAGATATGATGAAGTAGCTATACAATTTCTCTTGTTATACTTTCAAAAATGATTTATTTGGCAATACATACACAATAGATTTCCTCAAACAATTAAGTTTAAAAAATACACCTTTACAGAGCTGATTATTGGGTTTACTGGCTCTACACCTTTCAATGTCCTCTCCTTGAAAATGATTTGAGTTGTAAATAAATCACAAAATGTGAATTTGTCACAAGTACCAAGGATAACTTGACGATTCAAGATGTGTTATATGGTCTTGACATCATGTTCTGTTCATATTCCAGGGGTCGTGTTAAATGTTAATGATCTCATTTTATGCACAGTAACTATTCTTGACAGTTAAAAGTATATAGTTCTGAATTTGACGTGAAGAAAATATATGTATCAGGTATATATCATATGGCCTAGACCTTATTCATTTTTCTTGTGATCATGTTTAACTTAGTTCTGTATCAAAAGAAATTTTACAATCATCACTTAAAATTTTGCTATTTTGTTATGTGGTATTCAGAGGTGCATGTGCCTCTGATAGGTTCTATTATACTTTCACCTCATTTTCAAAATTATAAGAATACTTGATATAATGCATAAGACAAGGCATTATTAGTATGCAAAAAAATTTCAAAGATGGTATTTATTTTGTATACGGTAGTCAAATTGCCTGTAACAGTTTCTAACAGAAGCAAAAATTAATTGCAACAAATAAAATCTAAGGCTAAATTTAAACTAAAAAAAAACAGTTCATGTGGATAGATATAAAAGAAAATGTCTACACTTATTAAAAGTAGAATCAAATTGAAGAGTATTTGTATTATTTAAGTTTGGCCTGAAATCTGTGAAGAAATAAGTGATAATCAAAGTATGTATTATCTTCATAGGAAAAGGGTATATGTGATGCATCTGAAGCCATGGCAGAGAAACAGTTAAGAATGTATCTGAAGTATAAAACATTACAGAATGAACTTCTAACTACCAGTGCAGACCTCCAAACATTAAGGTGGGTATACACAACAAAAATAAGCAAAATCATCTACATTTTAATGTAAGTCTCTAGCAAAATCCAATTACACTTTGAATTCATGATTCATAGAGTTCTAATTAATGGGGATTTCATGGGTTGAGGTTAAGCAGGAATTTACAAAATACAAATTTCATTTGACTTGTGTGCAGATTTTTATGCCTCCGCAATTAAAGTTGGGGGCATATTGTTTTACCCCTGTCCGTCCATCCATCCCATTATGGGTATACAGTTATTCAAGATAACTCCTCCTACAGTTTGAATGCTAGGAAGTTTTCACTTTGCTGGCTGTTTGTACATATATTGAAGGTGGGCATGTGGGCAGGGTTTTGATTTTTATGGATATTTGCTCTTTTGGGAGATAGTTGAACTTTGTCATTTTTGGAGTATATACTTGCATAAGAGGTGCATAGCGTTTCCGAATAACTCCTCCTACAGTTTGAATGCTAGGAAGTTTTCACTTTGCTGGCTGTTTGTACATATATTGAAGGTGGGATTTGATTTTTATTAATATTTGCTCTTTTGGGAGATAGTTTACATTTTTGTAGTATATACTTGCATAAGAGGTTCATAGTGTTTCCGGGTAACTCCTCCTACAGTGAACCATAGACCTATATGCTCCCATGCTCAATTTTGTGTATTTTAAGATAACACTCTGCATCTGTGGGGGCATCATTTGTGTCTCCCAGACACAATAATATCTCAAAGAAAGTTCTATATTGACTTTGTTATAATACAGTTACTTCAGAATGGAGTGTGGGGACATCACTTTGTCTAGTTTAAACCATGTAATCAAGTGTCCCAAAAAAATTCATTTTTTCTCAGTCCACAAATATAATTGATTTGAATGTATGCAATACGATTTTCATGTAGATAGTATTTCCAGCACCACCAGAAAAGGGAAACTAAGGTCAGCCATAGTAACTGCCTATTCATTCATATTGAAAATATTCTTTTGTTTTGGAGATAGCTTTTCATTTCTTTCAGTACGATACTGCTATCCATGGTGATCATTCTACACCAGAATAAACTTATCAAGTAACACAGTGTACCAAAATGGCTAACTGTTGTTTGTTTTAGCATATTTTTTATAATTTCAAACACTAAGTAGCAATTCTGGGTGAAAATCTAATTTATAGTGGTGTTACTGTCACTTGTCAATAATCAAGTGATTAGATGTCAAAAGAAAACATTTTACAAAGGATGTCCATATGGTTATATATATATATATATGAATAAAAAACTGTTTCATTTTCAGACCTAACAAAGATAATACTGGAGCAACCATCAATTTTGTTAAAGATGGGATGAATCCAGACAAAAGATTTCTACAGGTTCATTATTTAAAGGTAAAAACACAAACATACAAAGACTTGTAGATTGAGAACCCAAGAAATTTGATAATTCCTATCTTCATACTGATGAACTTTAATGGCAACTGTATGATATATATACTGTAAATCTAGAAATTAATGTTTACATTTACTATTACGAATCCTTGACCTCTGGCAAAAATGCATAATCTAAATGATGCAATTCCAAAAGTTTATAACTGAAAATCACTCATGAAATTATGAATGTGAGTTTTTAATACATTACAAACTTGAAGCTGTCACACTTTTTGCATTAATAAAAATATCCCAAAAATGTCTGTAAATCTACATTATTGAAATAACTCCAAGATCACACCTTTAGCAAATATACTTCACACATTTGACTCATATGTATCCTTATTAGATGATATGATCAAATCAGCCAAAACATGGATAAATCAGCATGTGCAATACTGATGGTGTTGCCCTGATGATTTTATACAGCTTTGCGAACCATGGACCAATGCAGAACAAAAGTCTAATTTGCCCATGGGCTAATATGGGATATTCACTATTTCTGGTTGGTAGAATGAATTGTCTTATGCTAGCATAGATTAAGTACTTAGACTGGAAATCAGAAATCCCATTAATATTCATGAAAATGCAATGTGTCTGGGAAAAGATGAGTTCATTTATTATTTCCTCACATGCATAGTGGTAAATTTACTCGTTACTTGGAGACTTAAAATCATTTAATAAAGGTGTCATGAACTGACGGTTTGTATTGGCATTAGTATAGGTGTTGACCTTCCACTCTTCAAGTCGCTGTGTCAATACGGCTTACATTGAATATATTCCAAGGTCAATACAGAAACAGCCGTTTCAGTATTGGATCATAGGATATACAGTTAGTAGGATGATAGAGCAAGAAATATTTTTACAAAAAATAAAAAAGAAATTTAAATAAACATAAACAAGAGTGGAGGGGCAAGATCTTGGTTTACATAAAAATGGTGAGGGAAACATTATGTTCTATAAACAAACTGAAGAGGATTTAACATGCTTTTAAGTATTTTATATAACTATTTTATGGAATTACAATTAATTAAGTTGGATTACTTATCAGAACACCAAAGGGTGAGGTTCATAAAAGTATGTTATAATGTTCCAAACGTGACAGTGGCTAGGATATTTATTTTAACTACAATATCTTTATTTTTCAAACATGAGGATGTTTCTTAGCTATAATCTCATCGAAGATCGACAGCCCTGAGATGAGATGTAGCCGAAAACATCATCTAGTTTGAAAGACCATTGATAATCTGTTTATCGCTGTTTTTTCTAGGCATTGTCAATGATGTAGGCTCATGACACCATATAATCTTTTTCTAATTGACTGAGAAAAACCCATATCTCTGGATTAGCGTGATATGAAAAATTATCACAAGAAAAGATCAAAGCAAAATTCAAGAAAATATCGAGAATTACAAATAATAGAATACAATCCTTCTACCGGTAATTGCAAATTATTTTCAGGAACAGTAAAACTTTTATTCCTGTCAGACTAGTCACTACCAATTGGTTTTAGAGAAATTTGTTTGCACCAATATATTTTTATTTCAGGGATACTTCCTGTTGTGTTATCTAGAATCCTTTGTTGGACTAGACAAGTTTCTAAGAATGTTACATTCTTACGTCATTACCTTTTATAAAGAACTTGTATCATCAAAGGTAAGAGAGAATCCTTTGTTGGAATAGACAAGTTTCTAAGAATGTTACATTTCTACGTCATCACCTTTTATAAAGAACTTGTATCATCAAAGGTAAGAGAGAGTCCTTTGTTGGACTAGACAAGTTTCTAAGAATGTTACATTTCTACATCATCACCTTTTATAAGGAACTTGTATCATCAAAGGTAAGAGAGAATCCTTTGTTGGACTAGACAAGTTTCTAAGAATGTTACATTCTTACGTCATTACCTTTTATAAAGAACTTGTATCATCAAAGGTAAGAGAGAATCCTTTGTTGGAATAGACAAGTTTCTAAGAATGTTACATTTCTACGTCATCACCTTTTATAAAGAACTTGTATCATCAAAGGTAAGAGAGAATCCTTTGTTGGACTAGACAAGTTTCTAAGAATGTTACATTTCTACATCATCACCTTTTATAAAGAACTTGTATTATCAAAGGTAAGAGAGAATCCTTTGTTGGACTAGATAAGTTTCTAAGAATGTTATATTTCTACATCATCACCTTTTATAAAGAACTTGTATTATCAAAGGTAAGAGAGAATCCTTTGTTGGAATAGACAAGGTTCTAAGAATGTTACATTTCTACATCATCACCTTTTATAAAGAACTTGTATCATCAAAGGTAAGAGAGAATCCTTTGTTGAACTAGACAAGTTTCTAAGAATGTTACATTTCTACGTCATCACCTTTTATAAAGAACTTGTATTATCAAAGGTAAGAGAGAATCCTGTGTTGGACTAGATAAGTTTCTAAGAATGTTACATTCCTACGTCATCACCTTTTATAAAGAACTTGTATCATCAAAGGTAAGAGAGAATCCTTTGTTGAACTAGACAAGTTTCTAAGAATGTTACATTTCTACGTCATCACCTTTTATAAAGAACTTGTATCATCAAAGGTAAGAGAGAATCCTTTGTTGAACTAGACAAGTTTCTAAGAATGTTACATTTCTACGTCATCACCTTTTATAAAGAACTTGTATCATCAAAGGTAAGAGGGAATCCTTTGTTGGACTAGATAAGTTTCTAAGAATGTTACATTTCTATGTCATCACCTTTTATAAAGAACTTGTATCATCAAAGGTAAGAGAGAATCCTTTGTTGGACTAGACAAGTTTCTAAGAATGTTACATTTCTACATCATCACCTTTTATAAAGAACTTGTATCATCAAAGGTAAGAGAGACTCCTTTGTTGGACTAGACAAGTTTCTAAGAATGTTACATTCCTATGTCATCACCTTTTATAAAGAACTTGTATTATCAAAGGTAAGAGAGAATCCTTTGTTGGACTAGACAAGTTTCTAAGAATGTTACATTTCTACGTCATCACCTTTTATAAAGAACTTCTATCGTCGAAGGTAAGAGAGAATCCTTTGTTGAACTAGACAAGTTTCTAAGAGTGTTACATTTCTACATCATCACCTTTTATAAAGAACTTGTATCATCAAAGGTAAGAGAGAATCCTTTGTTGGACTAGACAAGTTTCTAAGAATGTTACATTCCTATGTCATCACCTTTTATAAAGAACTTGTATCATCAAAGGTAAGAGAGAATCCTTTGTTGGACTAGACAAGTTTCTAAGAATGTTACATTCCTATGTTATCACCTTTTATAAAGAACTTGTATCGTCGAAGGTAAGAGAGAATCCTTTGTTGGACTAGACAAGTTTCTAAGAGTGTTACATTTCTACATCATCACCTTTTATAAAGAACTTGTATCATCAAAGGTAAGAGAGAATCCTTTGTTGGACTAGACAAGTTTCTTAGAATGTTACATTCCTATGTCATCACCTTTTATAAAGAACTTGTATTATCAAAGGTAAGAGAGAATCGTTTGTTGGACTAGACAAGTTTCTAAGAATGTTACATTTCTACATCATCACCTTTTATAAAGAACTTGTATCATCAAAGGTAAGAGAGAATCGTTTGTTGGACTAGACAAGTGTCTAAGAATGTTACATTCCTATGTCATCACCTTTTATAAAGAACTTGTATTATCAAAGGTAAGAGAGAATCCTTTGTTGGACTAGACAAGTTTCTAAGAATGTTACATTTCTACGTCATCACCTTTTATAAAGAATTTGTATCATCAAAGGTAAGAGAGAATCCTTTGTTGGACTAGACAAGTTTCTAAGAATGTTACATTTCTATGTCATCACCTTTTATAAAGAACTTGTATTATCAAAGGTAAGAGAGAATCCTTTGTTGGACTAGACAAGTTTCTAAGAATGTTACATTCCTATGTCATCACCTTTTATAAAGAACTTGTATTATCAAAGGTAAGAGAGAATCGTTTGTTGGACTAGACAAGTTTCTAAGAATGTTACATTTCTACATCATCACCTTTTATAAAGAACTTGTATCATCAAAGGTAAGAGAGAATCCTTTGTTGGACTAGACAAGTTTCTTAGAATGTTACATTCCTATGTCATCACCTTTTATAAAGAACTTGTATTATCAAAGGTAAGAGAGAATCCTTTGTTGGACTAGACAAGTTTCTAAGAATGTTACATTCCGTCATCAAATCCTTTTATAAAGAACTTGTATCATCAAAGGTAAGAGAGAATCCTTTGTTGGACTAGACAAGTTTCTAAGAATGTTACATTTCTACATCATCACCTTTTATAAAGAACTTGTATCTTCAAAGGTAAGAGAGAATCGTTTGTTGGACTAGACAAGTTTCTAAGAATGTTACATTCCAATGTCATCACCTTTTATAAAGAACTTGTATTATCAAAGGTAAGAGAGAATCCTTTGTTGGACTAGACAAGTTTCTAAGAATGTTACATTCCTACGTCATCACCTTTTATAAAGAACTTGTATTATCAAAGGTAAGAGAGAATCCTTTGTTGGACTAGACAAGTTTCTAAGAATGTTACATTCCTACGTCATCACCTTTTATAAAGAACTTGTATTATCAAAGGTAAGAGAGAATCCTTTGTTGGACTAGACAAGTTTCTAAGAATGTTACATTCCTACGTCATCACCTTTTATAAAGAACTTGTATTATCAAAGGTAAGAGAGAGTCCTTTGTTGGACTAGACAAGTTTCTAAGAATGTTACATTTCTACATCATCACCTTTTATAAAGAACTTGTGTCATCAAAGGTAAGAGAGAATCCTTTGTTGGACTAGACAGGTTTCTAAGAATGTTATATTCCATGTCATCACCTTTTATAAAGAACTTGTATCATCAAAGGTAAGAGAGAATCCTTTGTTGGACTAGACAAGTTTCTAAGAATGTTACATTCCTACGTCATCACCTTTTATAAAGAACTTGTATCATCAAAGGTAAGAGAGAATCCTTTGTTGGACTAGACAAGTTTCTAAGAGTGTTACATTCCTACGTCATCACCTTTTATAAAGAACTTGTATCATCAAAGGTAAGAGAGAATCCTTTGTTGGACTAGACAAGTTTCTAAGAATGTTACATTTCTACATCATCACCTTTTATAAAGAACTTGTATCATCAAAGGTCAGAGAGAATCCTTTGTTGGACTAGACAAGTTTCTAAGAATGTTACATTTCTACATCATCACCTTTTATAAAGAACTTGTATCTTCAAAGGTAAGAGAGAATCCTTTGTTGGACTAGACAAGTTTCTAAGAGTGTTACATTTCTATGTCATCACCTTTTATAAAGAACTTGTATCATCAAAGGTAAGAGAGAATCCTTTGTTGGAATAGACAAGTTTCTAAGAATGTTACATTTCTACATCATCACCTTTTATAAAGAACTTGTATCATCAAAGGTAAGAGAGAATCCTTTGTTGGACTAGACAAGTTTCTAAGAATGTTACATTCCTACGTCATCACCTTTTATAAAGAACTTGTATCATCAAAGGTAAGAGAGAATCCTTTGTTGGACTAGACAAGTTTCTAAGAATGTTACATTTCTACATCATCACCTTTTATAAAGAACTTGTATCATCAAAGGTAAGAGAGAATCGTTTGTTGAACTAGATAAGTTTCTAAGAATGTTACATTTCTACATCATCACCTTTTATAAAGAACTTGTATCATCAAAGGTAAGAGAGAATCGTTTGTTGGACTAGACAAGTTTCTAAGAATGTTACATTCCTATGTCATCACCTTTTATAAAGAACTTGTATTATCAAAGGTAAGAGAGAATCCTTTGTTGGACTAGACAAGTTTCTAAGAATGTTACATTCCTATGTCATCACCTTTTATAAAGAACTTGTATCTTCAAAGGTAAGAGAGAATCCTTTGTTGGACTAGACAAGTTTCTAAGAATGTTACATTCCTATGTCATCACCTTTTATAAAGAACTTGTATCATCAAAGGTAAGAGAGAATCCTTTGTTGGACTAGACAAGTTTCTAAGAATGTTACATTCCTATGTCATCACCTTTTATAAAGAACTTGTATCATCAAAGGTAAGAGAGAATCCTTTGTTGGACTAGACAAGTTTCTAAGAATGTTACATTCCTATGTCATCACCTTTTATAAAGAACTTGTATCATCAAAGGTAAGAGAGAATCCTTTGTTGGACTAGACAAGTTTCTAAGAATGTTACATTCCTATGTCATCACCTTTTATAAAGAACTTGTATTATCAAAGGTAAGAGAGAATCCTTTGTTGGACTAGACAAGTTTCTAAGAGTGTTACATTCCTACATCATCACCTTTTATAAAGAACTTGTATCATCAAAGGTAAGAGAGAATCCTTTGTTGGACTAGACAAGTTTCTAAGAGTGTTACATTCTTACGTCATCACCTTTTATAAAGAACTTGTATCATCAAAGGTAAGAGAGAGTCCTTTGTTGGACTAGACAAGTTTCTAAGAGTGTTACATTCCTACGTCATCACCTTTTATAAAGAACTTGTATCATCAAAGGTAAGAGAGAATCCTTTGTTGGACTAGACAAGTTTCTAAGAATGTTACATTTCTACATCATCACCTTTTATAAAGAACTTGTATCATCAAAGGTAAGAGAGAATCCTTTGTTGGACTAGACAAGT